AATCATCAGGGAAATGCAAATTAAAACCACAATGAGATATCACTTTTCTCCAGTGAGACTGGCCTTTATCAAAAAGTCCCCAAACAATAAATGTTGGCGTGGATGTGGAGAGATAGGAACACTCATGCACTGTTGGTGGGACTGCAAACTAGTGCAACCTCTGTGGAAAGCAATATAATTCTTTTTTTAAAAAACAGAGACAAGCATAACCCTATAAACAAGTATATTTACTGAAATGCAAAAGATTAGTATCTACATGGTTATTGATGTGGTAGATCAAAGAACAACAGGTTATGAACTTTATATCTAACGGCTGGACTTTGGATTAATTAGTTTAGCTTTCTATGTGACAGTTCCTCTATCTTTACTTTGAAATCCTCTAATAAAGCTTGTAAAAATCAGCATATAAATCAAATGTATATGATCATCATAAATTACATATGAAATATATACATTTAAAATTTTGTTAACATTATTTAAGTATCTATATTTCTTTGCTGGAGCCACTGCAGAACATCCCATTTAGGTGTGAGGTTGCCTGTTGGTACATGTCAGTTATAAGCTCCGTCCCATCCACCCACTCGCCCTTGCCACAGGCGATGAGAGCAAGCTTCTGTTCTTGGAGACGTATTTGATCCTTGATTTAATACTTTTCAGACCAATGGGTACATATCTAATGTCGATACTTCCATTTACATCTAAAGTACTTAAGAATAAAACTGTCCTTTCCTCTTTAATCACTCCATAAAGACTGAGAGTAGAGGAGGATAGTTCAGTATTATGGCTTTTTTCTTTGTTTTCATTTCTTTTGCGCTTCTGTCATTTTGTATCTGCTTTACCTCTGAATGTGCAACCATGTTCGCGTTCATCTGTCTTTAATTCCTTTTTTAAAATATCTGTATCTTTTTGGGGCTCTTTGTGTAAGTTTTCCTTTTCCTCTGCTTCTTCCCCTTTGTTCTCATTTCTCTCTCCCTCCCCCTATCTCTGATTTGAATTTGTCTCCTAAAAATAACTAATGTGGCTAACCACATGTTTACTGGGAACCTACTACATGCAAAGCACTATGTTGCTTTTACTACATTGAAAAAGCTAAAACCTAAGTGTGACTTTTAACATGGTGTGATCCTGATTGCTTTCTGTGATGAAGGTGTGATGTGTGTATGACATACATGTGTGTTCACGTGTGTGAGTACGTGAGAAAGACAGAGTTTGAATCACTGGTCATTTAGAGGGAAAAAAAAAGAAATTTTGAATCCTATGCTTGCTCTAAACTTCATGATCATCTCTTTGGAGATACAGATCCCAAAAGAAAAGGAGGTATGTGCTAGCTGGGACAGTTGTATAATAAAGTGTGGGAAAAGCGTTTTGGATCCAAAGAATTTATTGGGACACATGGTTAAAAGGAGGAGGGAGTCAACTGAAGACGCACACCCGCATGATACTTAAATGTCATTAGATTCCTGTGAGGGTGGTCAGCCTATAATGTCATAACTCTCCGCAATGTTAGATTTGCCAAGAGAAGAAAGCTAATTCATGAAAACATAGGCATTAGAATTCAGTCTTTGAGTCTCAATTTGTAATCTGACCTCTGATTCATGGCCCTCAACTGTACCTTCTTACTACCTTTACTGTAGTAAAAAAGGCCTAGATTTACCTCCTATATAGTATTAAATATGATTTCAGAAAAAAAATACATTCAGCCAAACCGTGGTAATAGAAACGAAGTATTTCAGCTTTAAAGATATTTACATCATGGTAGTTGAAAACTGCAGGACAATCAAGGAGCTGATGTAGGAAACCACTCACCATCTGCAGAGGGAGGATCTGTTTTCCGAGATCTCACTGTGACACTGGAAGACCTGGACAGGTCAGTGCCACTTCTCCACACCCGCACTTCCACGTGGCCGGCGCTCTCATCCACGGAGTACACCACGTCGCCAAAGTAGAAGATGGGTTCTGTTAAGAACAGAACAGAACCATTTCTGTCATTTTTATTTCTTCACATTCAACTCTATTATCATCATATATCTTTAGTGAGATAACATCTCTATAATCTTTAGATTTATATAGTTTTCAAGTTAAAATATTACTGCTTAAAAACAAATAATACATATAGTAAAGTGCCTAATGGAATATTCTCATCTTGAGGCACAAGCGTTAGTTTGCTCCCCATGTCTGGGATTATAAATGGCTTCTAAATGTACCTCTGGAGGCTTAGCTAAAAACATATAATAGAACCAAATGAAACAAAACACATAAGACTGAAATTTTTTACGTTTGGCCCAGTCACTCATTTTATCATTTTCTACCAAGTTTCCACTCTGAAACAGCAGTGCAGCTATTTGCATGATGCCATCTTCCAATCCATTAGATTTGGGTTGAATCCAGTGTATTTGGGTCTGTTATAAACATTAGAGTTAGAACCTATTGGAGTAACTAGACTAAATATGTGTAATTACCAGTCCTGAAGACTTTAGGGAGATCAGGGCCTGGCTGCAGGTTACTTCTAGAGTTTTGGGGATGAGATATAACAGCTGATGTTTCACTGAACAATCTCATACAAAGAGGTTAACATTTATCCTAAACATGTATGAAAAGGATGCAATGTAGATGACTAAACTATGGCACATGCTTCGAAGACATAGTATTTTTCTCCAGTATTGATGATGAATTTGAACTGATATAATCATTGTTTCCTATTTGAGCCTACCTGTGACCAACAATTTACCTTATGCTATAGCTGCCAGAGGTCTGAGGTGTAGTAGTCAGCTGATAAACAAAGAAAACTGAGAGATAATTTGTAAGCTTACTTAAAAAAAAAGAACTTACATATTTTGAAATATATATAGGCTCATAGAAAATTACAAAAATACTGTTTACCCATTGAGCTTATTTTATAAACAATCATTAACAAAGATAAATTAATTGAGTGCACACACACAGGTAAACAGCCCTTGGACTTGAAACATTGTAGTCTTTTGTCTCTGGTCTTACAAGATTCAGAAGGACTAAATCTGAAAGGACATGCAACTCCCATTACTATTCCTTAAAACACAAAGCTGTTAAAGAGATGATGTCATATTTTGGAGCATCCAGTTGAATTCCCGAACACACAAAATCAAACAAAACCCTACAACAGTAGCTCACAAGCCATTTGGAAAGCCAAAGGAGATCCATTTTGTGCACTGCTCAAGCTGAGTACAAATTCTTTATTTTCCTGCCCCAAATAAACCAAAATCTTCATTTCTTCATATGGTAGCCATTATTAAAAAAGCATATAGCTCCCCTGGGTTCTTGAATAATATGAAACCAACCTTGGAAATTTTGTTTGCATATTTTGGTTCGGAGGTGATAAATCTGCCTACAGCACAGTTCACCTCCTTCCCGTCCTTCCAGCTTGGACGGTGCCAGGGCATGTGAGTGTGCATGTACGAACGAAGGCGTTATCTTGCTGACCTCTGTCAAAGCAGCCTCAACCACCAGCCAGTGCATTCCTGACATTTCTCACTCCTAAGCAGGGAGCAAAGGTGAAGACAGAGAACCCAGAAAATGTTTATTCTGACCAGATGGCCAAACCAGGCACATCTGTCTGTCTTTTAAAAGGCTTTTATAATCATGGAGGCTTGATCATCTGCATCCGACAAATGATCTCTCCAAGTCTCCTCACATTCCTGGCAAAGCATATCATCACCCAAATTAGGCTTCTGAGTTACGGGAGGGAGCTGGGAAGTGCAGTGAGGCAGGGCCTCCTATCTAATATTGACACCTCCCACCTTGCCGTCTCCCTGCTCCTCACAGAGGAGCAATAAAAATGGAACAGAATAAAACCACATCAGTAAGTCCAACTGTTAAACACCAAATGAGCTACACATCGGGGACAAAATTGTGTTTTGCAAGTGTGTTTTCAGACTTATTCTGTCAACTATAGAACAAGTGTTTTACTTTATAGCTTAATGTGTAGCCTTTATAAGAAAAAAATGGGAGTCCTATGTATGTGGTACTCTGAAAACTTATATCCCAGTTGTCATTCAGAATGAAGATTAATGATAATAGTGACCACATATGTACACACAAATGTGCTTTATATGTGTATGTGTGTGTTAGAGAGAGAGACAGATTGGGACAGTGTGGCACATGTGACAATGCCATAAATAATAAGAGTTACATGAATTATGCAAACAATATCACCATATTGCCTATTGTATCGTACATTGTTACCTCCAGCAGAAAGGAGAAGGAATGGAAATAGAGTTTTCACACCAAATCCTTCAATTTTGATATAGCAGCTAATAGAAGGAGTTAGAAATGTTAATTAACTGCTTTCCTAAAAGAAAGCTTTTGATTATCAGTAGATTTAAGTTATTTAAACGATTTCTCTCCTTCTCTGTGCTCCACCCAGGATGACTAAAAAACCGGTCCAACAATTTCAATCATTGCAGTTAAAGTTTGAAGCGATTATTATGAGATTAAAACACAATTCAATAGTTTCCATAAGAAATAAAAACCTTGTTGACTACCTACTTTCCTGAGCCATGAATAAAAACAAGTGGCTAGACATCAGCGCCTTTACATCTTTTCAGTGTAGATGAATGAGAACTGAAAAGTGATTATTTTCATTTCAATTTCTCAATATCTTTTCAAAATCTCTAAAATTTGAATATTATTTATAATCATCACCATTGGGACAAAACCTTATGTAATATGAATGAGTTAAAGATCCTTCAAGCAGTGAGTTGAGTTATGGATGTCACTTAAGAAAAACGGCAAGATGTTCCTGGAACATTTTAACGGGTGCTAAGTAAGTAGAAGGAATAAAAGAATAAATGGATGAAGGCTGTCAAGAGTTGAAGCATACCAATGAAAAATCCAGAATAATTGCTTGCCCTTGCAAATTATTATTATCTATGAGTAAAATTTTTTAAATCATCTCACTTGGGTAAACTTTTTTATGGCCCAAGAGCTTTTTTTTAAAAAAAACTAAATAAATCAAAGATCTTTGTAGATTAGTTATGGAAATACCACATTAAACCTTAAAGTAAATTAGGAAAAGCCTATTTAATTCTGTAATTCAGGTCTTCAATACGCACTGTGCCTTGTGCTATGTTTAGGTTCACAAACTTAATGGAGAAAACAGTCGGCGGCTGATACCATTGCCTGGAATGAGAGGATGATCACATAAAGCCCCACATCTTGCAGCCAACACACACTTGATACCATAAAGGAGTCATTCCTCATCACTCCACCACCCGCAGATGACACTCCAGAATGCATGTTTATTCCCTCTGCAGAGGAAAGATAAGTCATATCCAAATTGTCTGGGGGCAGTGCAAGGGAGGTTTTGAATTAGCCTACTGAAAGAGTGTGAAATTCTTCTTGTTTTTTTTGACACAGAGTCTCTCTCTGTTGCCGGGGCTAGAGTGCAGAGGCATCAGCCTAGCTCACAGCAACTTCAAACTCCTGGGCTCAACCGATCCTCCTGCCTTAGCCTCCCGAGTAGCTGGGGCTACAGGCACGTACCATCACACCCAGCTGTTTTTTCCTATTTTTTAGTGGCCCAGCTAATTTTTTTTTTCTATTTTTTAGTAGAGACGGGGTCCCGCTCTTGCTCAGGCTGGCCTCAAACTCCTGACCTCAAGTGATCCTCCCACCTCGGCCTCCCAGAGTGCTAGGATTACAGGTGTGAGGCACTGTGCCCAAGAGTATGAAATTCTTAAGAGAATGCAAACTCTACTCTCTATCCTATGTGGTCTTACGCTTTTCAATAAAGAGCACAGATCAAGGCATTGACCACCAATGAGTGTATTATAGCTCATTAAACATCCATGTGCTTCTCAACCTTGGGGAGACTTTCACTACATACAGCACAGATACGATCACACTTGTTTCCTGCAAATGCAAGAGAAGAGGAGGCTTGGCAAGCTAACAGCACACACACCTGCAATGAAGACAAAGGGAAAATAATTTAAGTTTTTTTCCCAGAGGGAAAAAGTGAACTTTTTTGGGGGGGGGGCGGTGTCTAGATGCATGTTTACAATTACACTGTGTCTCAGGAGATGAAAGGCAGAGGTGCCAGCAGTAATTACTATCTGGAGCCAGACCTTATTTACTCGTGTGTGCGTGGACTGTCAGTCAAGGAGGCTTTTAACTAACATGTTTGCTTAAAACTGAATGAAGTAAAGCATAAAAATGCTGTCTTTTGGTTAAGTGTTGAGAATAATACAAAGCAACCTCCTCAAACTGTTTCCACCTCAGATCTCTCTTCTGAGCTCTGGACCTTGAAAACTCACTGCCTACTCAATCTACTTCCCATGGGCACCTCAAGGCAAACTTCTCCAGAACAGGGTCAAGAGGGTCACCTCCACTCCCCGAAAACCAATCTCATCATGGTAATGAATCCCTTTGCCTAAAACTATTCATTGTTTCTCACTGCTTTTAGGGATTGTTCACAAACTCCTTAACATGGTTTATAAGACACTGAAACATCTGGTCTTTGTTTCCTTTTCAACCTCATGTTAGCCCCTTTTCTACATCACCATCTAGTATCTTGAATATTTTTTATGTGCCACTCCCAGCCTTCGCTATGCCACTGCCGCTGCTTGGAACCCTCCTCCCTCCTTCCCATTTGGATAACTGCTGCCCTGCTCATCTTTCAGGCTTCTGTTGAGAACTCATTTCTGTGGAAAACGCCCTGCCTTCCCCATCAGAGCCCTCACTCACCTTGTCCTGACACTGCAAGTGTGTGTCCCACTGTCTCTGAGCTCTCCCAGGGGAGGAATCAAGCTTCCTCCATTCACTGATGTTTCCCCAACACTTAGCTTAATCAATGCAATAGATGCTCAGTCAGTATTTCTAGAATGAATTAACATCAAGCAAAGCAGAATTATTTATTTGCTACAGCAAATGTCTGTCTTCATGGCAGGTGAGTTAGAAGAGAACACTGCATCGGGCAGTGGCAG